CTTTGCTCCAATTTGAAATTCCTATTCAGAGTTAATTTTTTGTGGTTGAGCTTTATTTTTTTAACAGCAAGTTTATATAATGCAGAAAGCTTTGGCTTCGCTTCTGTATCGTATTTTGTATTATATTGATTTTTAGAAAATGGATTGTAGTGTGGAAACCAGCACAGATCTCAGCAAGGGTTTCCCTTACAAAGATTTAAAATGCATGGAGTTTGGTTAGAAGCACATAAGTGTGCTTTCTGTTTTGTGTACACCAGCATTTCAATTTATAAAATGGTGTTTTTGGCTTGAAGGGTGAATATAGTTGTTGTGCAAGAAAAGATAATCCTTCCTTGCTAGCAGAGTTCAGCTAAGAGAATATTAGAAAACATATTTGTGATCTTAAAAGTTTAAGAGGTTGAATATGAATAAGCAAAGATTGTCATTCCTTAGATGTTCATGTGAGTTTGTGTAACAAATGTTTCTGTGTGACATATTTCTCTTTGAGAAATATCACTGCCTCTATTTTTCTGTCTGGGCAAATTTTCTCCATTATTATCTATAATATTTACTTCAAATGAAAATGAAGGTGGATGAGAATTCAAAAAATGTTTAACAAAGCATTTTAAAATTTTACTCTTTTCATTTATTAATTTTAGATTTTGAGAAGATAATAAACATGAGAAAAGGAAGACAAAGTTTTTTTTGTTTCTTAAATTTATTTTTTTCAATCTTATTTTTAAGTGACAAATAATTATATATATTATATATATGGAAGATGCAGTTTTAATTTTCAGATGGGAGTCAGTTATATAATCTCTAATTAGGCATGCTCTATATTTAGTGGATGACATTGTAAATAGTTTTCCACCGAATGATAATAATAATTAACATGATGAAACAGGGTTTTTGTTGAATTTTTTTAGCAGTTTTTATAGATTAGGAAAGAAAAAATTATCCTATTGAGAAAAATTATTCCTATTGAGAAAAATAGAAAGTCATATAAACACAAGCATTTGAAATCTCTCTTGATTATTTTTTCCCCTCTGAATATAGTCATTTAGCTTATAAATGATATATTTCAGGTCTCATTGCTTTAAATCACTTCTACTTGGTTAGAATCTTGAATTGTTAGATTCCCTGGTTATTTCCCATTGCTACAAAGGAATTTAAAAGAAATTTTCTCAAACTGAGAATTGTAGTCCTTTGGGGGACTTAATTTTAAGTGATAAGAGAGTCAAGGAGACAAGAATAAAATTCTAAGGCAAACTGAGCTACCAACATTCCTCTTCTTTGTTTTTTTTTTTTTTAGGTGAGGGTTTTTGTTTTTACTTTTTTCATATAATTGTAGATTCATGCAGTTAAAAAAATTAATATAAAGAGACCTTGCATGGTCTTCACCCAGTACAATGTCACAACTATGAATTTGACATTAATTCCTTAACTCTTCTTCACCAAAGTATGTGCTCTTTTTCTCTACCTGTTCTCTTCTGAGTCTCTCTGACCATTTCTTATATGCTTTTTAATACTGTGTGTAAAAGCATTAGCATCATACTTTCCTAGTGCAGACCTTAGTTATACTGCAGCTTGTTTCAGACCAAGTAACAGTTCTCTTTTCTACTGCATGGACAATTGTTCTGGAAAGATAAAGGATTAGAGAAGAGGTCAGAGAGACCAAATAGTTGTGTGCCCTACAGTAGAGTAGGAGATAATGGTGTGTGAGGGAGGATAAGTAATCCAATTCTCTGAGTCCTCTCTGAAATCAGCTTCTCTGCTCTAGAAAGTGGATTTTGTAGTCAGAGCCTTGAGGAAAAGCGATGGGAAGTGCCAGATAGTTAGTTAATCAGTGATGCTCATAATTGGGGGGGTTAGAACGAGAAACTCTCTTTCACCAGGACAGGGGTTCATGTTATAGAAGGCCTGTCTGGGCTCTGTCTAGTACTGGTGCAGGTGGGATATGCTCCTCCGTGGTAGCTGCTGAGAGCCAGCTGGATGAGGTGGCTGTCTTTTAGAGATTGAGAAGTGACAAAGAAACACCCTTAGTCCTTGTTCTTCCAGGCTCACACACGTTGAATCCTCAGTATGTTAGGTAGTTGGCGTTAGATTAATGCAGTGTTATGCCTACCCAGGGCCACATTTTCTCAGCTGTCCTTTTGTATGTGAGTACTTGTAGAAGTGCTTGCTGTTGCCCACAGTGCCCCCACCCTGGACTCCACCAAGGTCGTGACACTCTTTGGGGGTATTCAAAGTCAAGAGTGCCAACAGCCCTAACAAGGTCAGGAGAGCCAACCCAACACTCCCTAAATGGAGATTATCTAACACAACACTCCCCAAATGGAGATTATCTCACTCTTTTCTTGACCTTTTCAGAAGGAAGGAATCGAGATTTTTCTTACACCTGGAAACTACAGTAAGAGTTGTGTGTTCATCGTGTAGTTTATTCTGTTTACTTAGTTGACATATGAATGGATTGGCCTGGTTTCTACAAATTAGCTGCAATAAAGGTTTCAAAGCTATTTTAGAATGGGGCAGAAGTAAAATAAAAGTGAATGTATCATGCGTTTCACTAGCAGGAGAGGAAAATGATAATATATTATAGCATATGGGTTCTGGACTAGGAGATTTTTGCCTTTATTAGAAATAAGAAATTGTTACTAGGTCACATGCATGGGGAAATGTATATTACCTCCTTTGAGCATCATTTTTTAATTTCATTACTTAACTTGTACCACCCAGGATTCTACTGCTTTTCCTTAGCACATAAAAAAGCTCATAAAGATAAGTGTCCTACACTTGTACAGATGTGACGTCCACAATGGGGCTTGTGGCAGAGAAGTAACAGAAGACACATATTCGGTGCTGTAAGATGACACATATTTGGTGCTAAGTGTGAGGATGGGCATAAATTGTTAGGGCGTGGTGAATTTTGTTGCCAACACTTCTATGACTATGGGTTGGAGGGACTCCACATCTCCACTGGTAGCAGTGGCCACAGTGCTTGCAGTCCCAGTGCCAACTCCAGCAGCACAGGCTCAGCAGCCACTGTGGCCTTGTAGCCTTGTTGGCATTAACACTGCCTCAGGAAGAGATTAAATAATAGGTATCACCATGTCTTAGAAACATGAAAGAGCATATGCCGTGAACATGTACAGATGAGCGAAGGAGATGCAGAGAAGGAGGCAAAAGCCAACCTGCAAATGTTGGTTACAGCTGAGGGAGAAGATACAGTCCAGGAGTGGAGACTGCTGATGCCTGTGGTTGGCAGAGCTCCCACAGCTGGAGTCTGGCTCTCAGCTCTGCAGTCCAGAAACTGCTCTGTCAGTAACTCAGAGGGGATACGGCTCCCAAAACCAATTCACCCTTTGTAAGTTAGGATGCCAGTCTTACAATTTTAGAGAATAAATAAAATTGCCAAGTGGGTAGGAGACTTGTATCATCAGGTCTGCTGATTTTCATCCTGCAGAATTCTATACAGAAAGCCAATTCAAAAGATGTGCTTGGGGAATGGGGACTTTCAAAGCAGCAGTACTGAATGGAATGGCCTTATGATGGATGATAGTGAGCTTAATGCTCTGGAAGCCAAATGTTTCCATCTGGAAACCATCCCAAGAGAGTCAGATCACCTTAGATATCTGTTACATGAGGCATTTCTCCTGCAAAGTGTTTGACTCTCACCTTCTGGGCTCAATGCTGACCGTTCCTACTCTGTTGACAACATTATGCTGGTGGCAACTTCTGGTTTTGCCAGCACTTTATTGCATCTGCCACAAGAGCAATGTGTGTAGGGAGTTATTATGATAGCTCCATTTATGTTGACACTGTGGGTCTTTGTCTTTGATCAGTTGATTAGAATCAATCTGTTGAATATTCCTAACTTGCAAGGTCTGGATCCATGCGTGGCTTTTATCTTTCAGAAAGGTATCTTTCCCTTGGCATGTTAGTAAAGCTAAGAATAAACAAGACATCTGTGTGTGCTAAGGCATTAACCTAGCAAGGGCAGGACACAAACCCAGAGGGAGAATTGGAGCTGTTGTTTCACTTCCAACAAAAATGGGATGTACATGGGAGGTAGAGTTCTAATTCTATTCATAATCATGAATAGAATCATAATCATATGTGCTTCCATATGTTGCACACTTTGTGAATGGAATTGGATGGGTTACTATGCTTTGAGTCAATCGGGGATTATGAAACTGATCTTGGGGAGGGTGGCAAGATGTGTTTGCAGGTAAGATGTGTTTTAATGTAAAACAGTGCATGTGTGTATTAACAAATTATAGTTGGTGGACTGTGTTTTATTGTCTGGAATGTGTCTGTCCAAGGTTCATATAAATATGTAAAACATACAAATAATACATGTTTTCATATATATCTAGTATATATGTATTAAAATATATTAATATTATATTTAAAACATTTTAATGTACAAATAAAATGGTCTTAGAGTTAATGTCATCTACTGTAAGTCATATTTACAGATATTACAGGTTTTCAGATATAGTCAGTAGACAGGCTGTCTCTCCCCAAAACTGGAAAACATTAAAAATATGCATGATTAATTTTATACTCAAGTGAAGGTGATTATTAAGAAAAACAATCTATTGCATGTGAGAGCTTAAACTTTTGCATCACAACCAAACAGTCGCGCAGAGTTGACTTTTTAAAAATTTATTTTTTATAATGGGGGATTGTTTTGATGTGTAGACACCTTCCGTCATTTAATATTCATTCATCTAAAAGCAGCCAAATGATCTTTTCACTTCCTGCAGGAATCTTTTTATTACTACTGAGCACTGTGCTCATAAAACCAGTGGAGAATACCTTGCTTTGTTTCAGAGGTACCTCTCCAGTCCTGGTGGGTAATTAAATTTCTCAGTCAGTGTTGGGTAGATGCTGCCTAATGAACCCAGTCCAGGTCAGCACTGGGAGGATTAGTACATAGGACAAGAAACGTGTGTACATGAACAGCGAGACGGTGCCTTTTCATGCTAAATGTGGTTCCCCACATCTCCTCTGATTAGAGGTGTGCTCTGAACAAGCCGAGACGGGGCCATGCCGAGCAATGATCTCCCGCTGGTACTTTGATGTGACTGAAGGGAAGTGTGCCCCGTTCTTTTACGGCGGATGTGGCGGCAACCGGAACAACTTTGACACGGAAGAGTACTGCATGGCCGTGTGTGGCAGCGTCAGTAAGTGGACCCTTCTTCGAGCCTGGCCACCTTTCGTCTCTCTTGCCACTGACTCTGCTCTTTGTAACAGATTGATTTTCCTGGTTCTTGGGAATGAGCCTGTTGCTACCACTAACCACATTTCTATCGACTTCTCTAATTGCCCAAAGTCTCCGCAGTATGTTCAATCATGAGCACACCTCTCCGTCTTTCTCTAATAAAGCATGGCCATGGATGTGTTCCTCTACTACCTGTGGTAGATACGTCTTGCAATCTGTAGGGACTTTGGAGTGCTTCTCTTTATGACAAAGCTAGAGTGGCTGTTTTGTCTTCTGCAGCCGTGTCTGCAAATGCATATTTAATGTGTTTGTCTGTGTACATATATGTTTGTGTTTATGCATGTGCACTACTTGTGTAAATACCGTCTACCTCTGGAAGCCTGGCTGACGAAGCTTGGATTGCATTAACAAACGTGTATGGCTGTGATGAATATCTTTCGGTTTTTTCGTAACGTGTGTCTTTTAATGTGATAATGAGGGAATGGGACTGAATTGAGCTCAGGCAGCTCATGTGCCAGAGTGTAGAAATGCCCATGGTTGCCCTTGAGCTGGGCACACAGACATGTGCAATGTCAAGTTTCCATGTCCTTTTTGGAAAATAGAAGGAAACTCTTAACGTTAGAAACTTTCCATGACATAAGGCTCAAGGAATATAATTTTAAAAGCCTTTTTCTTGAATGTTAAACTTTTCATAATTCTGGAGGATAAATATATGAAGTCATGGTGACTTAACTGCAATGTGAAACTGGACCCTGAACAGATAAATTCTCAGGAGGTAACATACCAAATATATGAGACTTCTGCTATTGTTAGCAGCCTTCCAAAGTTAAATCCCCAATTTTATTTATTTGTTTATTAATTTTTGTTCATGTATAGGAAGTTTGGACTACTCAAGAAGTAATTGCTCAACTTGATTAACTAAAGATGAAACTCAGTAGTTGTGCATTTCTTCTTTGAGAAACTCCTGCCTTTTCTCTCCTGTGTTGCAAGGGTGGCAGCTACCATTTCCTGCCTGGCATTCTGAGGATTATATAAATTATTTTCCAACTGGATTATAGGATTAAGCAAAACAGCAGAAGGACCTGCACCATTAAGACCTTCCATTGTGAAGGAGCCCAGTATCTAAGTGGAATCTAATGGAAAAGTTCCTGTTGGTCTCCTGCCATTGCCTGTGAATGAGATGACTCTACTTCAGTTCTGTGTGTGAACAGGTGTAGGAACTGGTAACCCCAAGGTGGTTTTTTTTTGTTGTTTTTTTTTTCTGGCTGTGATTGGATAATTGCAGCTTCTAGCTCAAATGACTCTCTTCTTCAGTTTCAAACAAAGAAGTCAATTAGGTCAGGTAATAAGAACACAATGAGGGGATTCTGTCGCTTACAGCCCTGAGAACAAAGGGCTCTTATTACAGTGATTCTAACTGGTTTAGTAGCTCAGGGCAATCTCCTGGCAGATTGCCAACATTTTTCTTTCTTTCCCAGAGGTGGATTTATTTTCTGGAATATCACATATTTTGGTAATAAGAAAGAGGTTTGTTTGTTTTTAATTACGAGCAGTGATGAACTTGCCTTGAGAGTTAGAAGCTATCCCCTTACTTCATCCCAGCACTGCCCTTTCCCTCCCTCTCCCCCTCTCCTTTTGATCCGTTTGGGCTGGGAATAAGCAGTGGGTCTGGTGAAGGTGCCCTGGACGGCACACGCTTTGCTGAATGATTTGCAAAAAGTAGATGCTTCCAACAGGGATGCATTAGATAAGGCTATTTAGTTTTAGAGGGAATAGGTTACAGAATAATAGATCAAGAGAGTAAAGGCAAGAGGCTGAAGGTCAGTTAGGGGGTTGGACAAGTATAAGTGGAGAGTAATGCCTCGACAAATAGCCTTAGACCAGATCCAGAAGCTACAGCATGAATGGCTGAGCTCTGAGGGAATAGAAGGGGACTGGTGGTGTTTGACACAACACAGAATAGGAACAAGAATCCTCTTAACAGGTTACTTGGATGTACTATCAGGGACAAAATATCTCACATTCTAAGATGTTAACCTCTTGTGAAAATAGATCCTGTGTTTATATATTTACTTCGGTTCTATGGAGGGACCAAAGCTCAGGATATTTTAGTTTTGGTTGTTTTTTTTTAATTCAATGATTTTTTTGTTTGTTTGTTTGTTTTTATTTTGTTTTTGGTTAGTGGAATTGCGTGAGTTTCAGCCATCCTTCCCATGTTTCTGTTTTTGTTTTTAGTTATGTTCTCTTATTTTCTCCATAGTGTCCCAAAGTTTACTCAAGACCACCCAGGAACCTCTTCCCCAAGATCCTGTTAAACGTATGTTGTCATTCACCTGGGGGAAGGGTGGAGGGGAGGAGGATTTGCACGGCTGGATTGTAACTGCAGCATCATCACCTTCTTTGCATGGTTTTGTGTTTCTTGAACACCTGTCTTTTAATAATATGTTTCTTCCCATTGCCTTGATTGTAATTATGTCTAATTTTGCCAGACAACTTCAGATGTCAGGTTAAGAGTACTGACTGAGAATCTTCGCTTTTTGATCAATTTCCTTTTTAGTTGGTGTGTTTATTAAATATTGTATATACAACATTATTGTCTTTTATTTGGCATCACTGTTTTATTTCTTAAAGGCTACCAAGGTACCGTGATTTAACAAGAGACTTTAGACATAAGTAACTTGTCTCCTTAGAAAAATATTTAATATTCATGCATTTTAGTAAACAGACTAATACATGTGCACAGTTTCCAGATACATGTGTCGTATGACAAATGTTTCAACTTTAAAAGTGGAAGATCACTTTTAGACTTTAGGACCACTTCTTCCTCCTTTCTCAGAAGCACAAGAGTGGGTGACAGGTGCCCAACTTCTGATTTTATCATTAATGAGGAGAGAGTGAGCTTCCTTTAAAAAATATATCAACCAACCACTACAGGTATTACATTGTCTTATGTTTTGTGATATTACTTCAGTTGTCATATCAGACTAGCTTGGTTTAATAACTGTGGTTTCAATACTCATATTTGGCTTTGGATTATATCCAGAAATAGATTTATCCTGGTTTAGGTTAGGGGTGATATATACTCTTGATGCCTGCGATTGCTAAAGGAAGAGACACAATTTTATTTCTAGCTTAGATACTTAATAAAAAATTAGCATTTATATACATTATCCTGAAAACCTAGTCTCAAAGTTTATGAAACCAGTTATCTTTTTTAAAAAAACCATAAATTGCAGATGGAGAATTATGTATTTTACAAAAGATTTCATCCTAAATAATTACGGTTTTTTAATGGCCTCCATAAAGTGTTCAGATTAATTCAAATATGCATAACATTTGAAGGATGTGATTTTTACTGCCACAATAAACACATTTCCTGCTATTGTAAAAAAGCATTTTTCTCTAAAAATCTTGAAAATATGGCAAGTAGGTAGACACAGAAGGACTAGAGAAAAGCAGATATTACACAGTGGTATTAGTGACACATTAATGTGCATGGCGTGTTGCATTGTTCTAAGCATCTTCACTGATCGTTTATTTTTCTCTAGAATACTTTCTGGACACTTTCCTCATTTGTTTTGTACATTATGAGAAAAGGAGGCTTCAAGAGCTTAGTGACTTGTACCAAGCCATGGAACATGGCAGGACCAGGTTTGAAACCCAAATGACATTTTGGCTGTGCTCCACACCAAATGGCTAAGCATTTGTTTCTTACATTATATTCTGGGTTAGTACAATTACATTTGAGATTCAGAAGCACATTTTAAGAATACAGAAAATAGTGGAAAGAGGATGAAGAATTTTTCCCTAAATGTCATGAATATAGCGCACATCAGTAAATTAAGTGTCTTTCCCACCCTTTTACAAAACAATGATTATTTTTTTCTTGAAGTTTAATTTTATATCATTTTAGCATATAAAATAATTATATTTTTCATTTTTTATTAATTGATGGAAAGAAACATCATTGTTTGATAAATTTATTTTCATGACATACACATAACTGCTTTTTGCATCATCTACTTTTCCAAACAGATATTGAAAGTTGTTTTGTAATTTTCTCTTTCTCGGTAATTTTCTCCATCCACTTGCAGTCTGTTTGGGATCCTGACACCTTTCCACTAGGAGGATGAAGTGATTTGGGCAGCTATATTTTCTTGTCTACCTACAGAGACTATTCAATCACAGCAAGTGAAGGGTTTTGCAGTGCTAGTACAAACAGACAGCGAAAGCATATAATTTCTTGTTATTTATAGCCTGTGTAGCTATGCAATCTTATTTATAGCAAAGCTGTACATTTGAATTGAAAAAGTCATGGTCATCTGGAGGTCAAATGCAGATAGCAGACTTGATTCAGAGAAAATGAGCTGAACTAGAAGGCAAACAAGCCTGTTTGATTGGACAACTTGGGCTTACTCTTTACTCCTTCACCAACCTAGAGCTAATTGGATGATATCTCTTTGCACAGAGGCGGTTGGTTTTATAAACAGGTTGCTATTCGGAGCCTCTTCTAGTCAAATAATGAATGTGAAATGAGGTAGAAAAAGCTCTTCAGCTGAACTGATACAAGATTATACTTACGAAGAAAATGTATGATGGTCTGCATTATATATACAATGATTTTCCTGTTGAGACATTATTATAATCAGGCATTTCTAGGTTTCAAATTTTTGTCATAAAAATCAATTTGAGCTTTGCAGTTTTAGGGACACAGATTCTGTTGTTGTTCTTCTTGTTATCATAAATAAGAATCTAAACCACAAATAAGGGATAGAGACATGAGGCTGAGAGCTTTGATTTTAGTCATGAGGAGTAAATACAAAGGATTTGAATCCTTTAAAAAAAAACCCTTTCCTGTTTGGGATAAAGTATATAGTGAGAGATTAGTTGTATCTGACGTTAATTTTGCATCTGCATGTTTGGGCTTAGGACAATGCAAAAGTTTAACGTTCAGTCTGCATGGTTCAGTATTTGTGAACAGTAAAATTATTATATAAATATTTGTGGATCAGTTTATATTTCAAATATGAGAGTATGATCTTTTTTTCTATTGTTGTCCCTGTCAGATTGCATGTCAAAGGGCAGATAGTCAACTCTTTAATGGCATTTAATCTCACAAGGAGCATCATGCCAATTTTTAGTTAGCAGATTGTACCATGGGATCTGGCCAAAGAGTGACCCATCCCTGGCTCCTTCACTTGCGGTGACTTGTGGTGCAATCTGTGCAAAGAACAGCTAGACCAGGGTTTCTCCGCCTCAACACTGTTGACATTTTGGTCTGGATAATTAATTGCTGTGGGGGTCTCTCGTATGCCTAGGGTATTAAGCAGCATCCCTGGCCCCTTCCCACTAAATACCACTGGCACAACTCTAGCTGTGATAACTAAAAAGGTCTCCGGACTTTGCTAAGTGTGCCCTGGAGGGCAAAGTCACCCATGGTTGAGAACCACTGTTCTGAACTAGTAATTTACCCATGTCTGACTGACAGATATAACTAGGCTGGTGTAAACAGGTATGCTTGCCACTAACTTTAGGGCATGTTGAAGTGTTAGAATGTCAGTTGCCTCCAATTCTCAACAGGTGTTTATGAAATTGAATTTGTGAGACCGCTGTGCTAGCTCTCAATATTTGTAAGATAAGATGGAAGTTGCTGTTGCTGTTCTGGCTATGGTATCAGAGGTCTTAGTTTTTGTTCTTTAAGCTACAATGGAAGCGGTGAATAGAAGAGTAAACTCCTGGATTGGAAGCATGAGGTTCACACACGCACCACTCCTTCCTCCTCTCTCTGTTTCATCTTAGTTACCTAGAATCCCTAGAGAACAACCATCTGTAGAGATGCCCTGTAGCCTTGCTACACAGGTTACTTCTACCTTGCGATTATGTTTATGGATTTAGGGTCTGTGCAGTGGTGTAGGTCTGCCCTCAATGCAAGATTGAAGAAGTGAAAAAGATTGATTTATAGGCACATCAAAATGGCCCAGATATCATGGAATAGACTAGTACACTGCCAGAGAATATAAAAAAGAATTGGAACCTATTAAATGAAGCCAAACCACCACCCCCAAATTCCAAGTTTGTTGCCTCTGAAGCTCACAATTTGCAAACTGTAGGCAACTCGCCATTGCAGTCTTTGAATGGAAAGTGCCACCTTAACCCCAGAGTGGTCACAAGGACAGGAGTCATAAGACAGAAGTCTTAATGTCCAGGCCGTTTAGTCTTTGGCCAAATTTGAACTGTTGTTCTTAATGACTCCATTCTTATTCTTCCAATTGTTAAGTAGCAAATATTAGTTACCCATTAGTACACATTCTGTGATATTACTGGACCTCCGATATTTTTATAGAACTGCCAAGCATCATGAAAAACAATTAAGAGCTTAAAAGATGTGATGGTGAATTAAATTACATGTCACATCAGTGCCAGTAAAATCTATCAGATTGACAAGTATGAAAAGCCAAATCTTTGGGATCTGGAAATGCTTACAATAGAAGAATGGCTTTCTCCTCAGAGCTGTTAAGAGTGACTCTGACTGAAAAGAATTCAATTCCTTAGCAAACCAGCATTTCTTAAAAGGGTGGACCATTAACTCTGAATGCAGGTTGAAATGCTTGAGACCAGAAGTGTTTCAGATTTTGGATTTTTTTCAGATTTTAGAGTATTTGCATATTCATGTTAGCTATCTTGAGGGTGGGACCCAAGTTTAAACATGCAATTCAAATTCATTCGTGTTTCCTATTCACCTGATGCAAAAGCTTGAGAGTAATTTCATACAGTATTTTTAGTAATTTTGTGCATGAAACAAAGGTTGTGTGCATTGAATCATCAGAAAGCAAGGTGTCACTATCCCAGCCACCATGTGGTATCATGTCAGCACACAAAAAGTTTACCATTTGGGGGCATTTCAGATTTTCAGATTAGAGATGTTTAACCTGTAGTAAGAGAATGAATGCTCATTATATATGTGCTTTATTTAGCTACTTGCCAAAGAAGAGTAAGTGGATAGTTTAATAAAGGGGTCAGCAAATGTTTTTCAGTAAAGGCCAGATCATAAATAGTTTAGGCTTTGTAAGTCATTTAGTCTCCGTCATAACTACTCAACTTGGAAGTTGTAGCATGAAAGCAACCATAGGCAGTAAACAAAGAGACATGGCTGTGTTCCAATTAAACATTAATTTTCAAAAAGTAACCAGCAGGCCAACCCCTGGTTTAACACAGCAGTTACTTTGGAAGCCAGGATGTGCTAGGATGTGTATTTTGAGGGACGCCAGCAAAGTAATACGAGTACCCTGCTTTCAATGACTTGATAGTTTTGTTGAT